TCTTATAAGTTTCCAGTATATGTGGTTTGATGTGTAGTATTAATCTGGGGAGATCAATTGCCTCTCAGTGTTGTTTCAAAACTTGGCCTCTGTTTCTTTCTTTTCTTCTGGTATTTACATTTGTATGTGTTATACTTGTCCCACAGATTTTGGATATTCTGTTCTGCTTTTCCAGTAATTTTTCGAAGTTTCTATGATCATATCCTCAAGCTCAGAGATTCTTTCCTCTGCTATTCTATTAATGACCCTATTAAGCCAGTTGTGGTGGCACACACCTGTAATCCCAGCATTTTGGGAGGCTGAGGCAGGAGGATCACAAGTTCAAAGCCAGCCTCAGCAACAATGAGGTGCTAAGCAACTCAGTGAGACCCTGTCTCTAAATAAAATACAAAATAGGACTGGGGATGTGGCTCAGTGGTCAAGTGCTCTTGAGAGTTCAATCCTCAGTATCAAACAAACAAACAAACAAACAAAAAAAAAAAACAGCCCATCAAAGATATTCTTTATTTCTGTTACAGTATTTTTTTTACTTCCAGAATTATTTTTTTGATTCTTTCTTAGAATTTTCATCTCTCTGCTTACAATATATATCTGTTATTATATATTTTCAACTTCCCCCATTAAAACCCTTAGCATATAGGTCATTGTTTTTAAAAGTTTCTAGTGTGATAATTTCTACTTTCCTGTCATATCTGGCTCTGGTCCTGGTGTTGAATTTGTCTCATCAAATTGGATTGTTTTCTTTTTAGAATGTCTTGTATTTTTTTCTGGACATGATATACTGGGTACAAGGAACAGCTATAAATAGGCTTTTAGTGATGTGTTGGTGGGGTGATGGGCAGGGCATGCACTCTATAGTGGTATGACTAGTTCTCCATCTTAGTATTTAGGTGAGCCTGTGCCCCTGGCCTGTGCCTTTTCCATTGCTTCTTAACAAAATATGAGTAAATCAAATCTAGGAGTATATTAGAAGGATTATATAATACAACAATAATGAGATTTACTCCTATTGTGTAAGGATGTTTTAGCATATGACAATTTACCAGTGTAATACATTAACAGAATGGGGGAAAACATATGATCATCTCAACTGATGTGGGAAAAACATTTGAAAAAATTTGACACCCTTTCATGTTAATAACCCTTAAGAAATTAGGAATATCGGGCTGGGGATGTGGCTCAAGTGGTAGCGTGCTCCCCTGGCATGCGTGCGGCTCGGGTTTGATCCTCAGCACCACATACCAACAAAGATGTTGTGTCCACCGATAACTAAAATAAAAAAAATAAACATTAAAAATTCTCTCTCTCTCTCTCTTTGAAAAAAAGAAATTAGGAATAAAAGGATATTATCTCAATATAATAAAAGCCACATATGAAAAACCAACAGTGAAATTGGGCCTAAACTAACACTATATGCAAAAATAAACTCAAAGGAATCCATAACCTAAATGTAAGGTTAAAATTATAAAACTCTCAGAAGAAAAATATGGGGTAAAACTGCATGGCTTTGAATTTGCCAGTGCTTTCTTGGATATAACACTGAAGGCAAAGACAATGAAAGAAAAACAGATGAATTGGACTTCATGAAAATTAAATAAGTTTGTTCATAAAAGGACACAACAGAGTCAGAAAGCAACCTGCAGAATGACATAAACTATTTGTAAATCCTATGTTAGATTTAAATAAGGGATTACTATCCAGAAAATATATAGAACTCTTTTTTAAAAAATATATATTTTTTAGTTGTCAATGGACCTTTGTTTTTATTTATTTATTTATTTTTTAATGTGGGGCTGAGGATCGAACCCAGTGCCTCACACATGCTAGGCAAGTGCTCTGCCACTGAGCCACAACCCCAGCCCAGTTCTAACCAATGTATAGAACTCTTAAAACCCAATAACAAGAAAGCAAATGACCTGATTTGAAAGGGGAAATATGGCCTGGCAATAGAACTCAGTGGTAGACCACTTGCCTAACATTTGTGAACCCCTAATTTTAATCCCCAGCATCCCGAAATTGTGGGGCACAAACGAATTGAATAGAGATTCCTCCAAAGAAAATATACACATGACTAATAAGCACATGAAAGGACATAAATCACTAATTATTAAGGAAATATGAATAAAACTACAAAGAAATACCACCTTACCCACCATGATGGCTACTCTAAAAATACAAACAATTACAAGTGTTTGCAAAAATACAGAAAATTTAAAATCCTTATGTACTGTTGGGAATATTAAATTCTACAGTTTATATGGAAAAGAGTATTGCAATTCCTCCAAAACTAAAAACTAGAGTTACCATTTGATCCAGCAATTACACTTTTAGGTATATATTCAAAAGAATTGAAAGCAGGGACTTGAGATATTTGTACATCCATTGTATTATTAAGGATTCTCCAAAGAAACAGAACAAAAAGGAGAGATATACTACATGTTATATATGTATTGCTGTCCATACCAACATTATTCACAATAGCTCTTCATGTCTTTTGCCAGATAAATGGTTAATCAAAATGTGGCCTATATGTTTTCACATTATCATATTTTATTGCAATAAAAACTAAAAAGAAAAAAATTAACAGGTGTGGATGCTCCAGAAAGAAACAATGAGACTTTGGTTATTTCACCACAGGGTTGAGAAAGAAACAAATGAGTGATCAATACCTAGACTTACTTTTATTCATTTCACATCCTGGTAATCTCAGGCATGATGGACTCTCACTCCAGGCTTATAAATACAATCAGAAGCTGTCCCTTATTTCTCCCATTTCATACTTATTGTGGTCATTTACAACAGTGAAAGTGTCTCACTGGCTGATATTTGGGGGCTCCTTTTTCTGTGTCCCCCATTCATCTTTTATTTGTGTTATAGTCCATTTCTCACATCTCTCACTTTTCAAAAACTCCTGAGAATCAATAACATAGGAGACTCAAACAACACTTTTTCCACATTTAATTATGTCTTTTAAAAGCTTTCATTTTCCATATTCATTTCTGATGTGTGTTTTGTGATAGCACAGAGGAGGTACATAGTATGTGGTTAATATGTGTCACAATGGGCAAAGGTGCAACACTGCAGTTGAGGGGAGAGAGAAAGAATGTCCACGAGTTATGCCCTTTTCAATGCTTTATTCACTCCAAATCACTCAATACAATTTCACTCTATAGGTTCTTAATCAAGGAATGACAGTCCTTAGTGCTGGGCATTGCAATAGACATAATCAATTCAAAGCAAACAATTCTAAGTTTGCAAACACACCTCATCATGACAGACTTATTAGACATTCCCTCTGCATGCTGAGCTTAAGTGCTAGATTTAAAGTCTAAAATCTAGGTCTCAAGTCCAGCAGATACACACTCACTCAGACTGCAGTGACCAGTCAGGAACCCATAGAAGCTTCTCCTGGAGCTGATGGCTGGCTGAAGAGAAGGAGAAGTAAGGAGAGGTCGCCTTTTTCACTAGAGTAAAGTCTGCTGAAGACTTTGAGAGTGGTGAGGATGATGCAGAGGATTAGGCCGATGATGAGAAGAGTTGGGATATCAGTCCAGGTCCTCATTAAGCTCTCAGGCTTGTGTGCATCAGTGTCAGCTGGCTGAATGTCTGTTCATTTGTTCCATTATTTATACTAAATTTTGGGAGCTTCTGTTCACCCTTTGGGTCCCCATCAGCTGTTACCAGGTTTGCTAGTAACATCTTACATCTTGGAGTCAGGACATATGGTCTGGTGTTTTCCGCCCTGATATCACATTTTTAACTCTTATCAGGGTTATGACAAATGACATGTGACTTCACCCTGACTCTTACCAGGATTGTGGAAACTGACTTGCTTTTATCAGGCTATGCCTGATGGCATATCAGAGGGCTCCATAGGCTGGCCTGGTGAGACTGCAGGTTTATTTTAAAATGGAGTTTTAGAATGGAGTTGCTTAGGCTAAGGCCTAAGGCCATCCTTACAATATGTAAGTCAGTATACATCTGTTTGGGGCAAGTGCTTAACTTTTTTTGATTGATTGAAGTTTGAAGACCAGGATCTATACATGAAAGTTTTCTTCCTCATGAGAATTAATTGAATTCCCGTGTCTTATTGAAATGATATCAACTGGTAAAATCTAATGGAAAATAAAAGTTAGATGTTGAAAGCATAAATCTTGAAGAGAGGCTCTTTATGGCACATAGAAAGCTACAGAACTATTCCATGGTGTGAAAAAGTTACCAGCATATGAAAACCAGTGAGTTTAAATATTCACATTCAGCTACTTCATAATTTCTATCAATTTGCTTGGGTCCAGTATCCCATCTTCACTAGGATTCACATTGGTTATTTTGATTATTCAATCTAAATCGGGGGCTCAGGACATAACAGCCTAACTTGTCAGGTAGGGAAAGAGGAAAACTTGGGAACCTAAAAGAATTTTGATGACTTATGAAAAAAATAACACTTTAGGAACATTTATATAATTAATTTTAATAATAATTTCTAATTTAGTAACTGATCCATGAATAAATAGATAATTGGGAGTATTAAACTAGACACAAAAATGAGCATTAATGTATAATTGTCTGTGAATTATAATACTTGGTACCAGAAGGTCTCAATGTATATAGTCTTCATTGAAAGTTAATTGTCTCTGTGATATTCTTGGTACCCCTAAGGAAGAAAGTATAATTTTAAGTACATATTGATCAAATTTTCATGTAAGATACTTAGGTTAAAGTTATAGTCTGTTTTAGAGGTGAAATTGAAAGATTCAATAGTTATTGCTTTGGCAGAAAAATTTTTGGCTGATGTACTGTATGGGTCTTGATTTTATGATCTATCATTTTGTACCTAATATATAAGTTGACTTGCAGAAACAGTGTTTGATTTGGTGGCTTTCAGGGATTCATGTACAACTTCTAATTTAGTAACTGAACATTTGTTAACAGTAGATGAGAATGGGATGGGAGCATTAGTTGCAACTGAATTTTGAATGACTTTTCCTTTCTCCATACAGATTTCCTCCTAGAACACAAAGATCTTTTCCGTTCAACACCTCGGTCATGTATAAAAAGACTGTGTTTGTAGAGTTCACGGATCACCTTTTCAACATTGCCAAGCCCAGGCCACCTTGGATGGGTAATAAAAAAAGAATATTGAATGCTAATTATGACACTGGTTATCTTATTTCCTAGCAAGGATTCTCCAATCTTGGGAGTGCAGTTAAATATGGCAGCTGTCAAAAAGAATGTTCTTTTGTTCAGTTTTCCTTACTGCCATACTTAGGGCTGACACTTGTGTCTTCCATAAATGTTGCAGTGCTTCTGCAGCATTATTCTGGATTTCTTTTCTTTCTATCATCAATCCGTAGGTGATCTTATCCAGCTTTATGACTTTAAAATATTATCTATATGCTAATAATTCCCAAATTTCTATCTTCCACTTACACCTCTCACGTGAACACTAACTGCATACTTTCAGTTAGATATTGAATAAACATGCAACAAGATGTTCAGATGAGACATTTCCTGTCATAACTTTTTTTTTTTTTTGCTGGCACTGGGTATCAAACCCAGGGCCTTGCACATGTTAGACATGTACTCTGCTGCTGAGCTATACTCCATGTCTCTGTCTTAGAATTATTGGAAGAGGGCTGGGGATGTGGCTCAAGCGGTAGCGCACTCACCTGGCATGTGTGTGGCCCAGGTTCAATCCTCAGCACCACATACAAACAAAGATGTTGTGTCCGCCAATAACTAAACAATAAATATTAAAAAAATTCTCTCAAAAAAAAGAATTATTGGGAGAATTATAGGTGACAAATATTCCTATATTTTGAAAAAAGGTATTAGCCCACCTATTCAGGACTTGTTCATATAGTGGTTCAAAACTAGTTATGTAACCCTTGGACCATGACTCACTTATAAGCCTATATAAAAGAAGGCTAGGAAGTTTATATTTAAAGATTTTTTGGAGAGCATTTTGGGGATATCCCTTACCATGTGAGGGGAATAAATCTCCCTCATGTCAAGCTATAACAATGAAGACTTCAGGAGAACAACTTAGAAGACTAGACATAGCACTTCTGGAACTTGACATACTGACTAGTGCCTGATTTCTGTCTCTAAAAACTTTAGGGCTGGGGCTGGGGCTCAGTGGTAGAGCACTTGCCTTGCACATGTAAGGCACTTGGTTCAATCCTCAGCATCACATAAAAATAAATAAGATAAAGATATTGTGTCCATGTATAACTAAAAAAATATTTAAAAAAAAACATTCAAGGTCAGAGACTAGGAGTAATTTCCCCTGATGGCATAGCAGGGAGGGTGGGATATAGTAGAATGTGACTGCACTATTATTGTTAAGTATGAGGCCAGAAAGTTCACAGGATGAGACCTGTCTTAAGAAGACCCTACCTAGCCTAGGTGACCCCAAGAGAAAAGGCCCATGTGGGTTGTACTGCCAGAAACATAAACTAAGGGGAAACACGCAAGTGACCAGCTAAAAAGTGTATACCCCATGGAGAGAGATACAGTATGATGTCACCATATTGAGGGTTGGGGAGGGGGTCTCAAAGGACTCAGATATATTCCCACAAAAGAGGCAGAATTTTGGCACGTGCTACAACCAAGGGATACTAATGCAATGCTGCCACTGTTATTTCAAAGCAAGTCCCTATCATCAAGACTCTTTTTGCACTCCCACCCTCTTTCCATTTGCTTCTACCTTAGAGGGTTCAGAATTTAGCTGGAGGAAAAAGGGAACTTTTAATTGCAGAGGACATCAAAATTTTATATTTAGACTGGACTGGTTTTATAATACTAAAAACGTTGCTGTTTGCTAACACCTGAAAGTTACTGGAAAAGATTTAGGATCAAAGTGTAAGAGGAAAATTCCATATACTGCAATTAAAAACAAAGCTATTTTATGTTTTCATTGAATCCTATTAATTCAATAAGCCATTTATAGGCATATTTTTTTAAAAAATATTTTTTAGGTGTAGATGGACACAATATCTTTATTTTATTTATTTTATGTGGTGCTGAGAATCAAACCTAGTGCCTCACACATGCTAGACAAGAGCTTTACCACTGAGCTACAGCCCCAGCCCCATTTATAGGCATGTTATAATATCCACAAAGCAGAACTCTGTGTGTGTGTGTGTGTGTGTGTGTGTGTGTGGCTGTGGATTGAACCCAGGGCCTTGTGCATATGAGGCAAGCACTCTTCCAATGGAACTATAGTCCAGGCCCCACAAAATAGAACTCTTAATTTTTCTCTTGCTTTTCTGTGTCATGGATTAACAAATGACCCAGAGTACAAGCCACAGATCATATGAATAATTTTTTACCCCTCTCTTTCTCTTTTATTCTGTCTCCAACATCCAGTCCATCCACAAGTCCTATTGACTGTTACTCCAAAACAAGTTCTAAGTTGTCCTCTTTTACTTCCATAAAATCAAGATTTATCCTGCTCTTATGGCCTATAAGGTCCTACATGTTATGTTCCCTATCTCTATAACCACATTTTCTATTACTTATTCACCTTGTTTCACCAAGCTTATTCCTATCTCAGGAGATTTGCATTTTATCTGTTTTTAATGATTTTCCACTAGGTCTTTGAAACTGTTGCTTCTTTTTTATTAGTCAGATCTCTTTGCAGATGCCATGTCCTCAGAGGATCTTCTTGACCACTATATTTAAAGTATCTCCTACCTCCTGCTTCATTATTTTCTAGCACACATTGTCATCCTTTATAGAAATCATAATAACTTCAAATTTTCTTGTTATTTCTTTACATGCTTAATGTTTCTATAATGTGAAATCCAGTACATAGGACAGTTCCTAGAATATAGTAAGAACTCAAATATTAGTTGAACTGATGAATGCACTTAATGAATTGCCAGAAATATTTCCTCAGAACAACCATGAGGCTGGGGTGGTTTTGGCATAACTACTTGTTCTTAATAATCACAGGAGCTTGCCTCTCCACTGTGACATTGATCCTCACTTTCATAACAACTGGAGTGCTATCTTTCAAGTGACCTTTGAGGGACATCTCATTCTTGCAGGTCTGCTGGGTCCGACCATCCAGGCTGAGGTTTATGACACAGTGGTTATTACACTTAACAACATGGCTACTCATCCTGTCAGTCTTCATGCTGTTGGTGTATCTTACTGGAAAGCTTCTGAGGGTAAGTAAAATGCCTTTCTATTGTCCTGTCATGCTAGGGATAGAAAGGTGAGATGTACTTGTTTATGAGGGTGACTGCCTTAGTTCCTTTTGGATTGTTACAACAAAATACCTGAGACTATCCAGGTATTAGCCCCTTCAGAGCATCTGCTGACCAAGAATAGATCTTGCTTATTTAAATTGTCTTTGTCCTGCTTGTCTATTCTTAAAGCCTCTCTCATTGCACATATATTTTATGTCTGGAGAAATCAGTTTGGTGCTAAAAAGAGAAAGAAATGGGGGGGGGGACTGACTTGGAGTTTCCCCTTAACTTTGAAAAAAATGAAATACCTACTTTAAAAAAATGTCAGTACCAGGCACGGTGGCATATGCATGTAATCCTAGTTCTAGGGAGGCTGAGATAGGATGATTGTGAGTACAAAGCCAGCTTCAGCAACTTAGTGAGGTGCTAAGCAACTCAGTGAGACCGTGTCTGTAAATAAATTCAAAATAGGGCTGGGGATGTGGCTCAGTGGTCGAATGCCCCTGAATTCAATCCCTGGTACCCTCCCCACCCCACAAAATAATACCTGACAGTTTATGAAGAAAAGAGGTTTCTTAAAAGCTCATAGTTCTGAGGGTTCAAGAGCATGATGCCAGGATTAGCTTTTGGTGAGGACTTCATGGCAGATAGCATCACATGTTGGGAGAGAAAGATGCCACATGGGGAAACAGGAAGCAACAGAGTGAAGTAAGAAAGCTGAACTTATATATTTTTAACAATACCATGTGTCCTAACCCATAGTCTCAACATTGGTATTAATGTCTTCCCAAGGTGGTGCTGCCACGACATGATTACCTTGTAGTAGACCTCATGCTATAATTTGGGTCTGCAATGTCCCCCAGAGTCCCATGTGTGAAAGGCTTAGTTCATAGCCTGTGGCACTATTGGGAGGTGGTTGAACTTTAAGAGGTGATGCCTAGTGGGAAGAAGTTATGTCATTGGGGTGTGCTCTTGAAGGTATATCAAGACCTTGCTCCCTGTCTTTCGCTTTCTCTGCTTGTCAGACATGAGGTGAAAGGCTTCTTCTACCACGCATTACCACTATGATGTACTGCTTTGCCACAAGCCCAAAAGCAATGGGCAAAGCAACCATGGACTGAAACTATGAGCTATTTCTTTCCTCTTTTTAAGTTAATTATCTGAGGTATTTCATTACAGTAATGGAAACCTGACTAACGCATGCTTCCTCTTAAAGATTCCACCACTTTTTAGTACCATTACATTGAGAACTAAACTTCTAGCATAAGAACATTTGGAGAACAAAACATATCTAAACCATAACAGTGGGACACCTGGAAATGAATTCATTCTCTTGAAAGCAAACTTACTGAAAAATATGACAACAACAATAACAATAATGACTAAAATGTACTTGAGTTTAAGGTCATATAGTTAGTGAGTAGTGAAACCAGGATCCAGACCTAGACACATCTAACTCCAGAAGTTGTACTGTGAACCACTACACTACACTGCAATGATTGTTTTTCTCTTGCGATCTCAGCTCTTCTTTATGGTGTCATTCACAGGCAGGCTTTTGTCACATAATGGCAAACCACTAAAAGCTCTTGTCTTGCCTTGTTCTTAGAGATAGTGATCCAAGAGTGGGAAGGAAAACTTTTTCCTTGTACTTTCTGATGTCAAGTGGTATGGAAAATGGAAGCAAAAATATGTCAGGTATCTACAAATATAGGTCTCTATGACCTGGAGGACAGAATGGGCAAGTAACAGGAAGAAAAAAAATGACCATATTTTTAATCCTGCACACACCAGTTACTTTTTCTTCCAAAATTACACATATTCCTCACTCCTTAAAATCACTTCCTCTAAATGCACTTTAAACAAAACCTGCCATTTTCTTAAAACCTGTTCCTTCCTGGTCATAGTTATTGGTCCAAGTTAAGCCACTGTGGCTATCAAGCACTTGAAATGTGGTGAGTCACAATTGAGGCATACTATAAATACACACTGGATTTAAAATGCATAGTACAAAAGAAGACTGTAAAATATCCCACTCATTGTCTATGACTACATATTGAAATTATAATATTTGGATATATTAGGTTAAGTAAAATACATAATTAAAATAATTTCACCTATTTTCTTTTACTTTTCTTAACATGTCTATGAGAAAATTTAGAATTACACATGTGCTCACGTTATATTTCTATTGGACAGCACTCATCTGTACACTCTCAAAACAATGTCATTTAACATATATTGAAGCTGCTGCTCCTGATGTGGTGACTCATGTTTGAACATGTTTCATCATGCTGTGTGACCCAAATCTTCATTGTGGCTTTGTCAAGGGATTTATTTGGAGACCTAGTGGAAGAAAATTTCATGAAGTCAGGAACATTACTATTTTAGTGTAAGCCCCCAAATTGATTTAGATTTCCTATTCTCCCTTGTGGAGCCAGGACAAGAATCATAAAAAATTCTATCTCATCTGCCTTCTCATGCCCAGAAAACTTCCTAGGGAGGAAATTTCCTTCTTTCTCCTTTTGCTCTGACTTCCCAGGCTCTCCTTCACCACCTAGCAGAAGCACAAGGTGAGCTCATTAAAATAAACAACCTGTTTGGTCATACCCTTTACTCTAGCTAGCATTTCCTTAACCTTCACAATGTAGAAAATGAGTGAAGAAGGTGCCAAAGTTGACGATGACACTGTTCATATAGTTGTTAGCATATGTAAGTCAAGAAGATTCAAGTAAGTCATTAATACATTATTGGCATACATACTCTATATTATACAGCCTAACTATGCTTACATGTTGACTAAGTTATTCTGAAATGAGATTGCCTTAATATTCTGGATTTCTTTCATGAATCCACACCAAATGTGGGTTGGGGTAAAGTAACAAGAGAGGATAGACAGTATAGAGAAAAGGTCACCCAAGTTTCTGCTGGAGATGATTAGGCTAATTCTATGAGCTTTATCCACTTGAGAGTTTTCAGAATAATACAGGGAAATTTTATTTTTTTTTAATTTTTTAAAGAGAGAGAGAGAGAGAGAGAGAGAGAGAGAGAGAGAGAGAACTTTTTAATATTTATTTTTTAGTTTTCAGCGGACACAACATCTTTGTTGGTATGTGGTGCTGAGGATCGAACCCGGGCCACACGCATGACAGGCGAGCGCGCTACCACTTGAGCCACATCCCCAGCCCTGCAGGGAAATTTTAGAGAGGTCATGGTTCCTTCAATTTTGCAGCAAGGGCTAAGCATAGACACAATTCTTGTGTACCCTAACCTGGTGAGGTTTGGGCAAATGGGTTAAATAGTAATATGGCTTACCAGAGTTGACTTGGGAGGTAAAAATGACAGACTTGCAAACCTATACAAATACAAAGCAGATCATTGAGTGAATATTTCTACATTGTATTATAATTGTACTTCTACATTCCCCAACAAACATAGTGTTGGCCCTATAGGGAAGAATCAAGTTAAAAATTTTTAAATCTCTTTATCTTAACCATGCCCGCCTATCAAAGAGTGTTAACAAAGTATATATCCAATGCATGTTTGTTGATGAATTGACTTGAATTGATCAAAATGATGCAAGAATGGAGGCAATATTATTAATTAACAGAATCTGGAGATGTGAATAAGAACCTGATTTTTACCACTTATGTTAGGGTTAGTGGTCTCAAGCTCCTCTGGAATACATAAGGCTTTCCCCTATTTATAGCTGCTGCTTATTAGTTTTTCAAATTAAATTGCTTCCTTCTTTTTTTCATACAGTCAATTATTCTTTTTTTTCTTAATTTTTTGATTTTATTTTATGTGGTGCTAAGGATTGAACCCAGTGCTTCAGGCATGCTAGGCGAGCACTCTACCATTGAGCCACAACCCCAGCCCACTTCCTTCTTTTTTTAATTTTTAAGATTTTTATTAACAGATGATAATAGCATATCTTTTGGAGAGTACATTTGGGTGTTTTTATACATTGTTTATTAAATTAAATTTATTTTTAACTAGTACATTATAACATAAAGATTGTTCATATTAATGGGGAGTGACAATACTTCCAAACATGTACACTTTGTGTTATGTTTAAATGACACTAAACACATCTGTCTCCTCAAACATTTATAATTTCTTTATGGCAAAAACATTAAAAATCCTTAAAGTTTATTTCTTATGTAGAATCCATTTGTTCCAATGAGCTTGATATATTCCTCTGAGTGGACAATGGGCATAGAAAGGACAGTTTTCTACCTTCTTTCTTTAGGAGCTGAATATGATGATCAGACTAGCCAAAGGGAGAAAGAAGATGATAAAGTCTTTCCTGGTGAGAGGCATACCTATGTATGGCAGGTCTTGAAAGAGAATGGTCCAATGGCCTCTGATCCACCATGTCTCACCTACTCATATCTTTCTCATGTGGATCTGGTAAAAGACCTGAATTCAGGCCTCATTGGAGCTCTGCTGGTATGTAGAGAAGGTAAGTAGGTGAAAGGGTAGGACAGAAATGAAATAAGGACATAAATAAGAACAGGTTTTTTTTTCTAGTTGTACATAGACACAATATATTTACTTTTATTATTATTTGATGCTGAAGATGGAACCCAGGGTCTCATGCATGATAGGCGAGCGCTCTGCCTCTGAACCACAACTCCAGCCCAGGACAGGATCATTTAATAACAGCATTTGTGTTCTTTTCTCTGAAAAAATATTCTTTTCTTTTCCTGGAAAACTTTATGGAGGTAAACACATCAGTGAGTGGTTCAAATGCTTAGCTTTTATAAGTCAAAAGTATATAAAATTTGAGTAATGTAGATGTTTGTTTATTTTTGTAACTAATTATCCTAAAATAATCTTAATTTTATTCATGTGTTTTTAATTTATACCTTAATAGCATAAAGTAAATTAGGTAATTAAACTTTGTATAATTTAGTTTTAATCCTGTTTTTATGGTACAATTAGCTTCATTTGAACTTTCTTATGTTCTAGTTCTCTATTGTTGAATAACTCCACAATTTATTGGTTTAAAATGACAACAATAATTGATTAAACCACCAAACTGTTTTCCACAGCAGTAGCACTATTTTACATGAGGGTTGAAATTTCTGCACATCCTTGTCAATATTTGTCTTTAATTAAAAAATAGGCATCCTAGTGGGTATGAAGTAGTATCACTTAAAATTGCAAAGTATAAACGTTACATATTTTCCATCCATTTTGTAATGTTTTTGTTTTCTGTTGTATGTGTGTGTATGTATGTGTGTGTATATATATATATATGTATATATATATACATATATATATATATATATATATATATATAGAGAGAGAGAGAGAGAGAGAGATATTTGGCTTGTGTTTTTGTATGTCTTTTAAATTCCATTTTTCTAGTAATTCATTTTAATGTATTTTATAAAAGTAATAGTCAAAAAAAATTTGAAATTTAAATAAATAACCCTTTATCACAGATGGTTTTATAAACTGTGGAATAGGAAACTTTATATCAAAGAAACAGTGTTATAGTAAAGCTAACAACAAAGGACTACATTTGTTCTTATTCTCAAGCAGTTGATAAAAAAATGTCTCCTCCTAGTGGTGATTTTTTCTATGATGGGATTTTATATAGAAGATAAATTCATTCATATTCCCCCCACTCTATTTCCCCCAGGGAGTTTGGCCAAAGAAAGAACACAGATGTTGCACCAATTTGTACTGCTTTTTGCTGTATTTGATGAAGGTTAGTGAGCTCCGATCTGAAAGAAGTCAAATTATTGCCTTAATTTGGTATTTGAGAATGTGGGCTGCTTCTGTTCAGAGTAGGTGATTATAGAAAGACAAACAATATTACTATTCAGGATAGATCCTCGAAATAGAATGGTGAGATGCATGAACTTGATGATGCTATTTGTCTTAGTCCATTTTGGGTTATTATAACAAAATACCAGAGGTAAGATATTTTAAAAATAAAAGAGGATTATTTAGCTCATAGTTTTAACAATTCAAGAGCATGGTGCTAGCATCAGCTATGAGGTAGGAAGATAGAGGAACTAGGTCACAGGTTTTCCTTGTTCCTCTCCTTAAATCCATAAGCAAAGACTTTTGATTGTACTTCCTAAATACATTGTTTAATCTTCATCATTAAGTATGTGACTTTTGACAAATTAACCTCTGCATCTGTTTCCTCAAATCTAAAAATGAAATATTTTCTCAAACAGTTGTTATGAGGATTAAACTTTAGCCTTTTTTGTTGCTGGGGCTAGTTGCTGAAGGTAGCTTTAAACTCTTTATCCTCTTTTCCAAGTTGTAGGGATTATAGGTGTGCACCAACACACCTGGTAAACTACTATGCTCTTAATTGACGCCTCCATCATTTTTCTCTTGACTAGTCTCCCTGCCTTTTGAGTTCTTGACCCTCCATTATTACTACAGCAGTCTAAGAAATGTCTAGTACTTTAGCTCTAATTTTAGAGAGGAGGTTGAGAAGCTTTCAGGTGTGTAGAGTTTCATTATAAACTGAAATGAAGCAATTATAACAGAGACAAGGACTGACAGCCCTTTTCATCTACTTCCCTTTAACTAAATCATGGCTCAAACTAACCAATATTCTCCCTTTCTCTAGTTATTATTTATCATTATTCTTTCCAACCTATTGTTATGGACAAATATAAGGGGAGACAATCAGTTTGCTAATGTTTTCTCTCATTGATTTTGAAGGGATAAGTCACCCATGTCTATTTTTTTAATATTTATTTTTAGTTGTAGTTGGACACAATTTCTTTATTTTATTTATTTATTTCTATATGGTGCTGAGGATCAAACCCAGGGCCTCACACATGCTAGGTGAGTGCTCTACTGCTGAGCCACAACCCCAGCCCTTCCATGTCTATTTTTGTGACAAACTTTTTTTAATTGTTAGTTGTTCAAAACATTACAAAGCTCTTGACATATGATATTTCATACATTTGATTCAAGTGGATTATGAACTCCCATTTTGTGACAAACATTTTTAAGTTGTGAGTATCTTTTTGTGAAAGGAAGGAGGCAGGAAAGAACAGAAGGAGAATCACTCATGAAAGAAAGGTTAGGTGACTTTTTTTTTAACCTTCTCTCTCATCAGGGAAGAGCTGGCACTCAGAAACAAAGGGCCCCTTGACACAGGCTATGGATTCTCCATCTGCTGGGCCCTTGCCTAGAATGCACACAGTCAATGGCTACGTAAACAGGTCTCTTCCAGGTATGTGCATGCCTGCTCAATAATCCTCAGAGTTCTTTGAATTCAGCATTAGAGCTCTCTTCTCCAATTCTCAGACAACTATGCATCACAATAGAAAGCCCACTGAAATCTGGCCTCTGAGTTTTTGTTTTGTTTTGTTGGTACTGGAGACTGAACCCAGGGGTGCTTAACCACTGAGCCACATCCCCAGCCCTTTTTATTTTTTATTTAAAGACAGGATCTTGCTGAGTTGCTTAGGGCCTCGCTTAGTTGTTGAGGCTGGCTTTGAACTTGTCTCCTCCTGTCTCAGCCTCCTCAGTTGCTAGGAGGAGTGTATGTGTGTGTATCACCCCTCTCAGGTTTATTTTCCTTAATTATTTTCTATGTTTTTCAGTAATTCTATAATGAATATTCATTCTTTTAGAGTTAAGAAGGAAATTATTTTTGAAACATTCAAGCTCATGCTCTCACATACCTTATAGATTAAGAGATGGATAATAATGAAGGAATCAATATAAAAATGAAAAATTACAAATCAACAATTACTCTGAAAGAAAATTACATAATTGTATATATAAGTATATAACTAAGGAAACTGACCTAGACTATATTTTTTTCATGAAGTGCCACTTGAAGTGAGCTTTAGAATAAGATAAGGAATAACTATTATTTACTATATTGCCATGGTTGGTGTTATAAAGGATATGAGAGGTGACAATGGTGACAAGGAAATCTCTCACTTGTATAATTGCTGGATGGTACCATTCACTGAGATAAGGAAGTTGAAAGAGAATGAGGTATTGAAAATTGCAAATTTGGGGGCTGGGGTTGTGGCTCAGTGGTAGAGCACTTGCCTAGCATGTGTGAGACACTGGGTTGAAACCTCAGCACCACATATAAATAAATAAATAAAATAAAGGTACATAAACAACTAAAAATATTTTTTAAAAAGAGCAAATTTGGTTTTGAAAAAAATGTAGGTTTTATGAGCTATCCAGGTGGGAATTTTGAGATGGTTATATAAGTTCTGGGAGAGGTCAGAAATGGATTACAAAAGAAGGATCAGTCTGAACAGAACCAGACAAGTGTTTGTCAATTAACAAAAGTATTTTCCAGTTATTTACTTCTAAGCAATAGTTGTCTTATTCTTGTTTAACAGGTCTGATTGGATGCCACAGGAAATCAGTCTTTTGGCATGTTATCGGAATGGGTACCACCCCTGAAGTGCACTCAATATTCCTTGAAGGTCACACATTTCTTGTGAGGAACCATCGCCAGGCCTCCTTAGAGATATCTTCAGTAACTTTCCTTACTGCTCAGACAGTCTTGATGGACCTTGGACAATTTCTGTTATTTTGTCATATCTCTTCCCACCAACATGGTAATATCTTGGAACTTAAAAATGAATATTGTGAATATCCAGTTCTACTTTTAATGGGATTTACTGGGCAGTGTATAGGAATATAGTATGTTACAGAAAGTGCCATTATAGAGTTTGGATTATGTTAGACCTCAACTAAAATCCACTAGTTGCTAGTATCCAAGTCAGTATTTTACCTTGAGAATAAGATGGTTTGAGTATTAGTAGTATATTTTTAGTTGAATGTTTGTTATAGAGGAAGAAGGGATAATTAGGGATGGGTGAATTGGGGAAAATGAGTGGGACAATATTTCTTTGGTTTCCTGGCCTGATATCATTAACTAGCCTTCAATACTATGGAAAGAGAGACTATAGGTTGTAGGTGAAGAGATGTTTTGTGGGAAATCTAGGCAAATGAGGCACCACATGAGGTTTTCAAGGACTACTTGATGGGAATGTATTTTGGGTTTTTTTTTTTTTTTTGGTACCAGGGATTGAACCCAGGGGTGCCTAACACTGAGCCACATCCTCAGTCCCTTTTTATATTTTATTTAGAGACAGGGTCTCAATGAGTTGTTTTAGGACCTTGCTAACTTGCTCAGCTTCTTTTTCTACTCTACTGTGGCCATGGAAGGCTGTCCTTGTTGAGCTTCTGTAAGACAATATCAAAACTGGGTAATTCATTAGGAATATATATATATGTACATATTCATATATATACTTCTATATATTTTTTCCTATGTATATAGAGAGGGGGAAGAAACCCCATTCCCACATTAACAGCATTAGTCTATTCATCAGGGTGGTGTTGCATTTCTCACGACTAAAATACTCAGGGTTACTCCAGTGAACTGGGCTGCACAAAATAACCACACAGAGACAGAGAAATACCTTTTTCTTTGGGTCCTGTGATGGCTCCTCTGACCTTAGGGGGTCCATGGAAAGAGAGAGAGA